AAATGATTTGGGAATGAATAATTTAGAAATTTGTATGGGATTTTGTATGGGAATTATATTGATATATGAAGAGTAGAATTGATACAAATGCCATAAATGTCCAAGAAAGAAATTAATGAAAGTCATAAATGTTGTAAAAATGCTGAAAAATGGTATGAGATATAGATAATATATCTGGAGAAATTAAAATATGGATGTGGTTTCCTTAAGGAATGGCTGTGCAACTTGGTTTAATTTGTGTGTGAAGATTACATTTATGTCTGATGATTGGAAAAATGCAATTATTCTCCTGTTCCAAGGGAAAGGTAGCAAGACTATAGGAACAGGAGAATTAGATTGTTTGCCTTAAAGGTGTTTGTCAGTATTCTGATGAAAAGGTATCCCTTTTGATCCATGACCAAAATTTGGAATCTGCAGAGTGGCTGTATGCTGGACAGAGAATGTGCAGACCAGATTTTTGCCCTTCAGTAGGTCACTGAGAACTGTGTAAATGTGAGAAAGAACGTTTATTCTATGTCCTTTGATTTACAGAAAGGATATGATGAAGTGAGTAGGTTTGTACAGTATTATGGAATGTTTTGCATGAATATAAAGTTGACGTTTCCTTGGTGTGATATATGTGATGGAAGCAAGGTTATGTGGGAATTCATGAGTCACCAAATGGTCTATTTTTACTATATTCTCTTTCCTGCCCATCCATTCATGACACCTAACAAAATAATTTTTTCCCCTGGATTGCATTCATTCAGATTTTTTTAAAAAAAATATTAATTTAGTTTTCTGGCTATAATATACTAAAAGAAGGAAAGGAAAGAAAAAAAGAACTACATAAAATATAATATATAAACCAAAAAGAAAAAGAAAACTCAAATGTATGTAACAGCACTTTGTCATATGGAAGTGAAAGTTGGTATGTCAGGAGAAACAAGTCTGTTGAACGCAGTTTGAGTGGGTGCTTAAATGTGTACTATAAAACAAGAGTAGGTAGAATCAAGAATGTCAGATGTTGAATGAATGTGGATTGAATATCAACAGTTAGTAAGCAGTGCAAATGAAGGATCTTGAGGTGATTTGGTTGTATAGAGAGAATGAATGAAGGTCAAATTGCAAAACTAATATATGAAGGAAAAATGAATTAGATCAAGAGGGAGGGGGAAGACTGAGGAAGTTGTGGTTGTATGGATTTGACAAGGTGAGCAGTTTAAAGAAGAAAAGGCAACATATAAAGCAGAATATGGACACGGGGAAAACAAGAATGGTTTGCAAGAATGGACAGGTATGGAAAGGTATAGTGAAGTGGTATAACCTAGATGTGGCTTTTTTTTCTTCGTTAATTCATGCCTCACAGCAAAGAAATTAATAATGCTGTTTACCCTGAAGGGGAATAGTGTGTTGGGTATGTATGTCGATTATGTGTACAATTTAAAGCCATACTACTTCTGGCTCTTTGATTTTTTAATTCTCATTTCTGTCAGTGGAATTAAAAACTGAAGGGCAGAGGGAACCTGAAATGGTCTAGGATGTTGAGGATCCTACATTCAACAGGGGAATCAGATTTGGAGAAGGAGCAGCAAACCTTGAGTTAGAAATAGCCCCTAAAATCAAGGCCTTGCAGTGTTCGTCAGAGCGTGTTGCAGACGTTCAGAGATGTAGGGTGAGCAACTGGTAAACTATTGGGCTGTCATGAAACCCTGTCATATTGCGGTATCTTCAGTTTGATTGTACTCTCTGACAGGCCCAAACCGTTATGGTGGGCAGTATAACAATAATTTCAGCTTCTCTTTTTGCGTATTATAATATTATCTAGCATTTTTGTTGAAGAAATGTCAGTTGTACTTTAATCAAAAATATATGCCTGTAGATGAAAGACTGCAAGGATCTGCCGCTTTGTTTCCAGCAAAGCCCATGTGGATGCCCCTGGAAAGTTGATCATCAAACCGGAAAAAAATTTTTTCTTTGAATATGGAATTCTGTTTATTTATGAATGTTTGAGCACTATCAGTCAAGGGAACCCTAAGTGTTGTACAAAAGCAATTACTTCAGCTAATGCAATATAACAATGACATACAGAAACAGAAATACAGTATATAATTATGGTAAAAGCTATAATTAAGTTCTGGCTTCCAAAATGCCAGAAGAGTAGAGGCTATTCTTGCCTTGGGGAGCAAGCTGTTCCACTGTAGGGGAGCCCCCCCCCCGAGAATTCCATTTTGCTATCATGATATGTATAGAAATATCCTTCATTTAATTTGTCTGAGATTTCTATCTCATTGAATTGCATTAACTGATCATGCATTTTGCAAACAAGTACTTTCTTTTGTGTTTAGAAGCAGTCAGTTGGGTGACTGAACTTTAGTGTTCTGCAAAACCACTTTATTTTATTGACATCTCTGTCCCAGATTATTTGAGGAATATCTGAAAAAAGATATCAACATCCACTGGTGGTCATAAACATTTACTAAATGCAACTCTCATCATTCACTTACAAATATTGGCAAAATGGGAAATGGTATGCTTGTTTCAGGCATTTACAGAATTCATCTGTGATTATCATCAATCCCATAAATTATATATAAATTCTATATAAAAACAAATTAAATTTTTTAAGTTAGATATTTTATTACTGGAGCATGGCATACGCAGCTTTGATTAAGTTTTGAGATCCAAAAATGCAGTCATTAAAGATTTGATCGTTTGATCGTTCTTATTTTCAAGAACATAGATTATGATGTCTATATAACATTTAATTTCCTTTGAGAAATGGAAATGGCCTTTGGGATTGTATGAGTAAGAAATTTGGGGGGTTCACTTTTATTGGTAGAAAATTATTTCTCTATGGAAATGGATAGATTCCCAAGATTGTGCTTGATAGAACAGACTAAACTTCAATTATAATCCTCCTGGAAAGTATAAGTTACAAATTACATTAGGAGCTGTGGGCTTCCCGCTTCTTGTTCAACAGTACCTGGATAACAAGTTAAGAAAATTGTTGGTAAATATTCAATTACCAAATGCCCAAGTATCTTAGGAAGATGTTTACTCAGGTGAGATTTTAACAGCTAGATACAAGATTGAGGATATACCAAATACGTTATTTGATTACCAGTTATATAGCATAGAAAGAGATCATTATCTTGAACCATATATAAGATAAACAGTTTACAGGGACCCATATCTTAGAACAACATATTGTATGTGTGGTCAGAATACAAATATTACATATAAAATGACCTCCTTGTTGAATAAAACAGTGCAATTAGAGCTGCATGTGTACATCTGATTGGAGTAAATTGTAAGGGATGATAAGAACGTAGGAGTTGAGTTTTTGTTTTTAGTTATTTTGCTATGGATGGTTTTATTCAAAGGTTTTATATTATGATATGGCCTTATGGCTGATCAATAAAGTATTGTTGCCACTGAGCAGAATAATTTTCCCCCTGAATTTTCCTCCAGGTTCATTTTTACAAGATAACTAAGCTTGCAATATCTGGTGTCTTTTATTCTCATAACCTTGTGAATGCCTTAACCTATAAGAAAGTATTCAGCGTCCTTAGCTGGGCAATTCTATGGGCCTAGCCCAACACTAGGTTCACTTTCACTCGGCAGGACTGAGTCAATTAATCACGCAGTTGAGGGAAGTGGAATCTAAAAACACTTTATTCTTGCGCAGGAGCAAAGAGGTACACTTGCAACTCAAGTCCAGACCGAGCAGCCCTGATTGAATCAAACACCATCCATTTATTCAGTTCAGCTAACAAAGAAGTTCACTACAATTGGTTAACAAGCTGCATATCATTACACATGCGTATTAGTTATGCATCCAATAATAAGCATTTATTTAATTAAGTTTTACCTCATTGTAATATTAGTTCTCCTCATTTGGGTGGAGATTTTACTATTATAATTAAGCAGGCATGCCAAAAGTTCATCTTTTGCCAAGGACCCCCTCCTCCTGTCTTTCATTATCTGGTTGCATCTCGTTCAGATGTCTGGTCCTTCAGATGGATAGCCCTTATCTAGCAGTTTCCTGTGAGAACTGTTGGTACCAGGGGAATCGGTTTCCTCAAAGGCCATCCTCTGTGTTAAAGGTGAACTTCTGTTACTTGAAGGCTAAATTACTTGAAGGCTAATTTCCAACTTTTTACTACTTAGAGGCCATTACTCAAAAACCCATTTTTGCTTTTTGGTCCTCAATTCCTTTATCAGGACAAAATAGTAGTGAAGAAACTGGAGTTAGCTAACATGCTTAATCAAGCTAGCTTCTAAGCAACGAATAATTTAAAAAACAAAATGAAAGAATACCTGCCATCTGTTCATGAAACGAGTAGTGAATATTAGTAGACGTGATACAACTCTTACCATCTTTTAGCAGTGAACAATACCAAGAATTTATTACTTAGCTGTGTTTTGGCAATCTTGAAAAATCACTGACAGTTAGACAAAAATGGCATGATTACTAGCATTTGTATTTTATTAAAAGTTTCTGGAGCATTATATATAATAAAATTATGTAATTCTGTGTTGAACAACTTATTAATGCTTACTGGTGCATGTCTTTGAACTATTTATTGGAATCTGTTGATTTATGACATGGACAATTCAATCATATTCACATTTACTAATAAGTAGTGAAAACATTTAAGACTACAGGCATGCAGTCAAATCCAGTGTATGTTTATTCACAAATAATTGGCAGGATTATTTTCATGTAAGTGTGTATATACTTCTTACGTTAACTTCAAATAGTGCTCAGAATTGCAGTGCAAGTAATTTTTGCTTTTAACCACTAACTTCTAATTGTCACACTTCCATGTTTTGTAATCAAATACCTACTGAATTTTATATTATGGGATATAACATTGAAGTTAACATCAATTCATAAACCTTGGGCTTTGATTCTGTTTGCAACTGTTTAGGTATGACAGCCACTCTTTTAAAACAGGACATTTAAATTGCAGACAGCCCTGATGTTCTTTATTTTTTTTCTCTCATACATATAGGATGTGACTCTAATTGACATTCTCTGGAGACAAGACATAGATCTTGGAGCAGGGCGTGAAGTTTTTGATTTTAGCCAAAGAAAGAAGGAATATGAACTTGAGAGGCAGAAGAAGCTTGAAAGTGAGAGACAAGAACAGCTTCAGAAAGAGCAAGAAAAGGCCTTTCTTGCCCAGTTGCAGCTGGATGAGGAAACAGGGGAATTTGTTCCTATCCAGCCAGCTCAAGCCATTGAATCTGGAAATTCCGCCATATCCAACAGTTATTCACAGGTATAGCTGTAAATGCACAACCCCTTTTGTTCTTATTGATTCCAACACTGTATTCCCTTTCCCTTGTTTCTTTCAAAAGGGTGATGGTAGTTGCTGTTGGTGTGTTCACTGAATCTGCATTTAACACAAATGTAACCTTCTGTCTTTCCTAAACAGAGTGTACACATTTCCAAACAAGATGCAGATGATCTGTTTGATGACTGCATGCAGATTTTAGCAGAAACGTTTCCATTTGTGGACGAGAGTGAGGTAGATATTCACTCCTTTGCCAATCTTTATGTACTTAACAGCGTCTCTTTGTTATTTTCTGCATTCCTCTTAATATTATGAAGATTCTATGATAAACCTCTTTTCATGCTAATGTTTAAGGTTCCAAGCACAGCTATCAAAGATCTGTTTCATATATTCTAGATTTCCCCAGCTGAATTTCAACAAGTGGCACCTTTGGAAATGGCTACCAACCAGGTCTTTGTTGATTCTAACCATATGCAGCCACTTGACTCATCTGTACTTCAGTCTACGATTCCAGAGTTGTTAGATACAAAAGTTGAGAACACACAAGATATAGAACAAGTGTGGGAAGAACTCCTGTCTATTCCAGAACTGCAGGTAATAGTTGCTACCAGTGTTTGACTATGTATTTTGGACAGACATTTACTTAAAAGGAAAAATCAGTGTTTGACATTTTTGTTCTTTTGATCAGTTCTCCCCCACATCACTCTGTATAGGATAATTCATTGGAAGAAAAAAAGTTAGAAATGTCACCAGGTAACAATTTGACAGTGTTATAATAGCTGTGAGATACTTAACTTGCAACCAAGATTTAGTGTGAATGAAATAGCATTGATTTTCTAGGGAGAATTTGTACTATAAATTGTAATTACATTTTCAAGAGACTAGAATCAAGCCCAAACTGGCATTATAATCCTATAGCTAGTCTGCTTGAAAGGTAGTCCCACTGGTGTTGAATGGACTTTCTCATAAACTTAAGAACTGACGACTTTAATTGTTAAACATTATTCTTTTGGTTATACCATATAGAGCACATTGATACATTGGCAGAAATCTTGCCATTTAATGCTCTTTTGATAACTCGGGAGAGGTTCTTAAAAAAAAAAATCTTCCCCATATCAATTTGACCCATGATTGCAAGGAAGAGTAAGTCTGCTGCTTTTTAAAAAAAATAAACAGAATCCCCAACTTTATACTCCCGAAATCCAGTTACTTGCAAACTCATCAGAAACATTAAACACTTCTTAAAAGTCTAAAATTCTTCATATATCATGGATATTTTTTGAAAAAAAATGATACTGTGTAAATCTAGAGTAGCAGTAGTCACAGGAGCTGGAATTTACAAGCAAAAAGGCAAAATATTTTACCCTGAGTGCAGGGAAAACAGAAATGTCTCAAACAGAAGTTCTTCCCTTGGGAAAGAAACCTGGTAGGTCTACATTTATACTGAAAGGTCGTATCACTTGTTGAAGCCCATCCAGTCCCACAAAGGGGAGGCAGATGGTTCTGTTCCAATTATGAGGAATAGCATACACATTTATAAACTCTCACATTTATGTAAATTTGTTGAATTGGGCTACTGGTTTAATAAGTTATGAATGACTGAAGGGTTGACAGTTGTAGTTTCAAGGTTCTGATGCATTTCAGCCCCTTCATCCCAATATTCACATCTCCTTTGTGAAATGGTCAGTGGGGAAAGGGGCCTGCTAATTACTTGCATCTTTTTTCTCCCTTTATTTCTCTTGCATGATGTTTGTCTCACCAGGTTTTCTAGTCTCATAGTATATAAAAAGGTGGTAGTAAAAACGAAAGTGTCCACGTGTGTGGCACAAGGCTGCCCATCAATACTGCCTCCGTAGTTCCAGAGAGGCATCAGCTGCATAGAATGTAAACTGCCAAATTGTAAAACACGGGGAATTCATCTTCCTCAGAGGTCCTCCCCAAACTGTCATTTTCGTGGAACAGAAGGATAGAATTGTTAAATCTATGGAAAGTAATCATACTATTACTCTGAATTACATTTAAATTGAATTAAGCTAAAGCTTAGTTGCTGTCCTGCATGCAAGCATGCCACTAAAAATTTCAGTGTGGGTCTCAGACCAACCCCCCCCCCCAACTATGCCTCTAGAATGAAATGTAAAACATGCATCACGTTATCAGGTAAATTTTATTGCTGAACATTTTTTGGAAACTTTCTTTCTACAGTGTCTTAATATACAAAATGACAGCCTGGCTGATGTAACACCAAACTCATTTGCAGTAAATGCCACTTCAGAGGCTGCTGATAACTTTACCCTCTACAATTCATTATCTGCCATGGAGAAAGAAGTTAACTGCAGCCAAGAATTCCTGAAGCCACTGGAGGATCCCTATTCTAGCATGGTGCTGCCAGAAGATCCTAGCCAACATAGCACTGATTTCTGTGAGGATTTCTATTCCCTTATTGACGGAAAGATGAACAGCAGAGTGGCTACCCCACCATCTCATTTTGTGGATCAGGCACTTGCTGGCTTTTTAAGTGAACCTATTGATCTTTCAGATTTTGCTCAGTGCAAAGCTTTTAACCAGGACCTTGCAGGAAATGCCCCGGAGTGTAATGATTCCGACTCTGGTATTTCACTGAATGCAAGTCCCAGTACAACATCTCCAGCTCATTCTGTTGAGTCGTCTTCGGTCTATAGGGATACAAGCTTTGGATGCAGTGATTCAGAAATGGAGGAGATTGATAGTGCCCCTGGAAGCGTGTCACAGAGCAACACAAAGATGCATTCATTTCAGCTGCAGGCTCCTGTCTCTCCATCTCTAGAGCAAGGCACCCCAAAGCCTGACATACCACTTACTAGTACACCCCAAAGAGAATTGCCTGCCAATCCTGGCCATGTCGAAGCTCCATTTATGAAGGACAAGTCCTTTAGCCAACCAGAAGCTCATCTCACTAGAGATGAGCTGAGAGCAAAAGCTCTGCAGATCCCTTTTCCTGTTGAAAACATCATCAACCTGCCTGTGGATGACTTCAATGAAATGATGTCCAAGCAGCAGTTCAGCGAGGCCCAGCTCACTCTGATTCGTGACATTCGAAGGCGAGGCAAGAACAAAGTAGCTGCTCAAAACTGCCGTAAAAGGAAACTGGAAAATATTACTGAGTTGGAGCACGACTTGGATTACCTGAAGGATGAGAAAGAGAAGCTCCTGAAAGAGAAGGCGGAGAATGACAAAAGCTTGCAGCTGCTGAAAAAGCAGCTGAGCACCTTGTACCTTGAAGTCTTCAGCATGCTCCGGGATGAAGATGGCAAGCCATATTCCCCTAATGATTACTCACTGCAGCAAACCAGAGATGGGAGCATTTTTCTTGTTCCTAAGAGCAAGAAGCTAGAGACTAAATTCTGAAGATAAGGGAGATGAAGAATATTTCTATGAATATTTTTACATTGGTATTTTCTATTGATAAGCATTATGTAACCCAACATTGTCCTTTTTCAAGTGACTACACATTTCCCTAGAGCCAAATGTATGAACACACTAAATCATTAATGTAAAACAAATGTATGCACAATGGGTAATACTTCTGTAATACGCTAGTTCTTCCTCTTATGTAACAGCAACGGAAGTAGTTTTTGTGCTTGTGTAAATATTTCAAGATGTCTTATTTATATACAATTTCTATAGTTTGTTTTACTCAAATATGTATCTAGCGTGATTTAAAACTGCTAATCCTACATATTTACAAGATTAATTTTATGTTTTAAGGTACATCATTTTATAAATATAAATGATTTTTTTAGTTTCCAAATGTATTTTTGTTTTATTATAGCAGCTTGAATGTCATGCAAATTGATCTGCATAAGACAGTAACAAGGGCACAATCCAACCAAAGACAAGCACTGTGAAGGACAGCTTAGAGTAGGTACATTAAGCACGTTCAATGTTTTTTCATTAAAATTAATGGGGGCTTAGGAACCTGATCATTGGAAGATGATAGAGAGATGATTGACGGATAGATTTTTGGACTTTTAAAATGGCAAGTTTTTTTTTTTCTTTTAGATAGTTTAGTAGAATGCAATGTTACGATTTTGCTTCAGCCAAAGCTGTGTAACTATGTGACTGAATGTGGTTGAATGGGGGAGTGAGTTGCTGGATGTAGAACATAGTTTTTGTTGGATCTAAGCTTTCATTACCCCCCCTCCCTTTTTCTAGCTCTTGTATTTCCATATATTTGACTGAAATGTATTAAAGTCTCTGGCTTCAGAGTGAATGGTTGAACAAGCCATTGGCCTTATTGATGAGTGGGGGATCTTTGGCATCCTGAATAACCTCTTGGTCATATTCATAATTTGGCAGCTTGGATATACTAGACAAAAATAATAGCACAATTGGAGAAGTTCAATATCCATGCAGAGTTTGATTTTATATGACTTATGGGATTCAGTTTTACATGGTGTAATTGTATTTTAAACATTTTTGCAGTCTAAACTTTAAGGGTGCAGTCATTCTGATATTTCAGAAGAAAACTAAGAAAAACAAGGTACCAGGAGATAAGAGTTTTCAATGATGATCAGTTGCCTCTTGAGAGCTACACTGGACAATACCACAGCTTGACGTATAACATTTATCCCCCGAAGGATCTACAGAAAAGCAATATCTTAAAAGATTATGTGCCATCAAGCCTGTGTCGATTCAGTTGACCACATAGATTTCCTCCATGACAATCTGCCCCTAACCTGGTCTTTCAGGTCTTCTAATGGTGCCCCCATGGCCATTGTGTCCTTCCTCTTGCTGCTGGTTGTCCTCTTCCTTTTTCCTTCCAAGCATTTTAATGGCCCTCCTAAATATTAATACATGTAATCCTTGACATACAACTATTTGTTTGACTGTTCAGTTACAATGGTGCTGAAGGTGACTAGTCCTCACATGATCATTGCAGTCCCTGTGGTCATATGATCAAAATTCAGGTGCTCGGCACCAGGCATGTATTTACAATGGTTGCAGTGTCTTGGGGTCACATGATCGCCATTTATGACCTTCCCAGAGGGCTTCCAACAGGCAAAGTCAATGGGGGAAGCCAGATTTGCTTAACAACAGTGTGATTCGCTTGATGACCATGGCAAAAATGTTTGTAAAATCTGGTGCAACTCGTTTAACAGCCACATTGCTTGGCAACAGAAGTTCTGGTCCCAATTGTAGCCATAAGTCAAGGACTACCTGTAGGAAGGCATTCTATGGGGGGCAGACTCTTCCAAAGGATGGGAGTCAATGAAGCAATTTATTTCTAGGCCTCTCCCCCTCATACATCCTGTAGTGTGGGACTTGTAACATACCCTTTCAGCTGTTCTGCACTAAGCAGGTACTGTAGATACTCAGGACCCAACATAGGGTTTAGAGGGAATAATCGGCATCTGGGACTGCAGCCAAAACAACTCTATTTCAGAACTCCCTCCTATTTAGAAGTGCATCAGGTTAAAAAAAAACTCAAATCCCCTTGCCAGAAAGACTTACTGGTGATTCATATATTTTACCCCACTTGTATTTTCTGTAAAGGAATTCAGGCCAGTGTAAAGGAGTTATGAACAGGTAATACTGATTGGTAATCTAACAGGTTTTGTGCCTGAAGGATTTGAACCTGGATTTCATCAGTACTAATCAATGCTGGAGAGCCTATGTTACTCTGATTTTACCATTGAAAGTGGAATCAAGATGAAAGTTGTTCTCTAGCAACATTTAATGCGGTTGCTAATCTAAGCTCTTAGGTCACTTCTACATTGAACGATAACAGAACCAAGTGCTTTAGGAGATCTGCAGAGCTGAAGGCCCCCCTCTTTATATAGTACCTTCTATTCAGTCCAATCATGGGCATTCCTATTTCTCCACTACTCTTGCCTTTCGTTGGCATTCCTTTTGAGTAAAATTAGCATTTTGTTACTTGCACGATCAACTTATTGAACAAGATGCCACTCTTTTATGTGGTAGAAGAAATAATTACCTTATTTGGAAGTGCACTACAATGGTTATAATCCTCATGGGGTTTTAATTGTACTTTTAAGAATGTGTGATGTGGTCCAGGGTCTTCAGCTTTTTGTATCTCATACTAATTCTTAAAGATTTAGGGAAGAAAAAACATAACTGGGTAAGATATTCTGAGTTTTGCTTCCCCGTCTAAAAGCGTCTGATTGCTGTTTTATATAGTGAAATGGCACAAATGCACCATTGTAGTTACTCATTTTGTACTTCAGAATTAAAAAGGAACACAGTGCACATGGCAAAATTGTAACGTGATATAAATCTAAACAGCTACCTCGTGTTCTTCATTCTCAGATCCTTCACAGGACACTGGCATAATAGACCCAAATTACTCAGCAATGTCAGTTGTTTATAGTCTTTTACTAAGCCAGAAATTATTTGCGAGAGAGTGCTTGTTCATGTAAGCATGCCTGAAGTTTTGTCCTAGCATCTGATGTGCCCTGAAGCTCTGAGACATCTTCCCTAGGCTAGAGTCAATCATTTGTATAGAACCTGTGGTTTCGTGTGGAGCTAAATGAGCAGTGTGAATCCAATATCCTTTTAAGTGGCTTCAAACTCTTCAACTTTGTATAACAATTCAGAAGAAATCATATGCAAGTCAGTTGCCTAATGCAGAAATGATGGTTCAATACCTAGAATTAGGAGATTCACCAACTATCATGATTAACTATGTTTTATTGTAAGCATTTGATTATTACATGCTTCAATTTTTGCTCTCATAGCTATCAGTTGTATACATGTTCCACTGAAGAATCAAAAATTTCAATTTATGGAAACAGACGATTGTTTCTTCAGGATTAGTCATCCTGCAGAGCAGAAGATAAAAGTAAACAATTTAGCACATCAGGAATGGTAACCTACAGAATATCCTAATTTGCTAACAAGTTATTGAGGACCGTTGGATGCTAATGCTGGCACTGTTCTTGCACCATAATTCATCTAAGCCCATCGCCAAACACAGTTGGTTAATCTGCCTTGTTTGGGAAAACATTTAGCTGAGTGCACACAAGATTCAGCTACTCTTTTCCTAGTAAGAGTATCAGAACACCTCCAAATGTGAGGTACAAAGAAAGAAACACATGCACTCACCCCATGTCCATCTTGCTGGGGATTGCTGAGATTAGTGTACCCATTTTAGCCTCAACTCTGTTTTATAAGACAAAAAGGGAGCATAGATGCTCTTTGCCACTCAGTCCTAGGATTAATAACAAGACACAATCTAGAAATATTCTCTCATATTCAGTTTCAATTAGCCACAGTTCCTATTTGCTCTAACTTAACAATGTGTACATTCGAGACAACTGTAGATAGGTATAGGAATTGTAAACTGCTCACAAGTTCCTAACTTGTTAGATTGTGATGCTGACAAAGGCAAGGTGGCCAGTAAATGCAGACAATCTGGAACCACAGTCCTACTCTTTCACATGTAGAACTAGCATACAGAGTAAGGCAAATGAGTTCTAAATATTAGATTACAAAATTAAGGCTTACAGAATGAGTTTTTAAAATTTATAAAAGAAACCAGAGACTCATTTTAAGGGTTTGTTACCTGGAAGTTATTTAGAGGGCACATCATGTGTTCCAGGTGAGAATGTTACTGATTTTCTTGCCTGCAATCTGGCAATTAAAAACATTACCAATAGGAAACCAGCAATGCTAACTTTAGATTGGCTACTTATGTAATTGAAAAATCACTTTTCAGATGAGAACAGGGCAACGTTATTTTGCACCCTGGTCTATACTTATTTTTAGGCCTGCAATGGGAGTGGGGAGTGAAGACATTACACAACTAGTCAGATCAGGGTTTTCAGGTTGTTGTGTGTTTGTGTGTGTGTGGGGAGTATGTTCAGCAATCTGTTATGCCTCATACACCTTTCTCACCAGTCACTGGGAAATTATCCCACCAAATACAGTGGTTCCTGCCAAGTTTTGGTAATAGCATTAAGAGGCTGTATGCCAGGGGCATGCAAACAGCAAAACCAACCTACCACTGTTCTGAGAGTTCCCCAAATTAAAACAAAATACTGTACTTTGTTCCATTGTTTTACATATTCTGCTACAGTAACGAGAACTTTTTGTTCTAGGTAAGCAGGGCAATAAAGTTTATTTCAAGGAGTACCCACCTTTTCCTCTGATGTGTTGTTTCATCAGGGGAGAAAAAACCTTCTCAAAATATTGGAAATGTTTTGTTTCAAGCTCAGAGCAGTTTCCCATTTTATTCATACCATTACTACATGCGGTTTGCAAATTGCCTATCCATAATCAATGCATAATACTGTCCAGAAGGTGATGACTGGTGAACTCTACTAGAGACCACTACAACTTTTTGAGCCATTCACAAGTCATGAACTTAGCTGAAAACAAGGAATTTAAAAAACCCTACTTCTCATTTATTGGAGGACAATTGTCACCATCCATTTTTTCCCCAAATACTCACATGGCAACGGCCGAAAGTGAGCACAATGCCAAGTCAAGCCTCACCCCAGTGAGGCCTCATTGTTAAGCAAGCCACCCATCTCTTTCACAGTTGTATGAATTACTATGAATGGTAGAATTCTAGATCTAAATGCCAAATAGCTAATTTCAACATTGCTCATTCACATTGATTTGAATACAGTAATAAATATCAATATACTTCACATTTATCCAGTTTGTTCTCATCTCCAAAACTCAGTTTTCAGAGCTCAGAATACAAAGAAACATCAGTGTTTTACACTCTTACCAAGCAAGATTTTTCCAATAAGATATCCACCTCTGGTCACAGAGGTTTCTTCAACAATCTGCAAGTCAAACAGATCTTTCTTACCATGTTCAAAGAACAATTATTTTTTAATTCATGAAAAGTGTTAGAGACAAACCTTACCTAGTCTTACTCCCCTTTCAGGTCTGAATGCTAGACCTATGACTGGGTCAACTCAAGTAGCTATGACTTGGGGAGATTCCAACTGGTGAAGAACTCTTCCTAGACTTTCTTCGTTATTTCATCACTGACAGGCAGATTTAACTATTTTGGGGAAGCTGCTCACTATCAGCATAGTATATTATGCCTTCTCTTGTCTGGAAGTTGAAGCTGTCGCTGCCTTGTCCTCCTTTAATTTTGCTGACTTGGGTGCTGAAGTCCTGTCTGAATCTTGTTTGATCCACATTTCGGCTAAGACATCTTTAATGCTGGTTATTCACTGTCCTCTGCTTTTACTTGTCCGGGTTCACAGATAACTAGGTCTGTCACTGATTACCTTAGAGGTTTCACATGTTCACAACAGATTAACACACTAATAATTGTTTTCCCTATATACCATCAAGAAAGCTCCCCCCCCCCCGTTCAAAAACAGACTCAATATCTTAATCAATCCCTCCAGTTCTGCTCCTGAATTCAGTAACAGGCTTAGAAGGGATAAGTTATATCTGATCTACCTTTACAAGAAGAAATAGACATGTGCTGCTTACTAATGTAAATGAGAACACTGCAGTAACAGGTGGATACCCTTTCAACAAGCTTTGATTATTGGAGTACAGACACTTTCCTGGAGATAAAAAGGATATACCGAGAAACAGACACCTCATTCCCACCTTTACACATACTCATGACACTGTAGATCTTTAGGAGACTGATGCTTTTGAGCCGGGTTCACGTATACCTTATGATTTTAAAGTAAATTTTAACCATGGTATTCTATACCCAGTGATGACTGCATGACTAATTCTGAGCAATATGTTCAACAATCAATTCCTACACTGGAATTAAGTTTACCTTATACTCATTGGCCTACAGAAGTAACAGGTGAAAAATGACTGAGTTTCTTCTACTCACTGTGCCCTACTCTTCTGGATGTGTACTGACAGAAAGCACTGCTCTGGCAATAGTTCAAAAAGAAGTCTAATCAGATTGAGAAGGATAGCAAATTATTAGGGAGCATGGCTGTAAATAAATTTAGGTAAGTGAAGGAGTAAACAACTCATTCATGTTTGTGACTTTAATAATTTTTATCATATCATTCTGATGCACAGTACTTATTTAATTGTAGCCATAGGACCCTCATTAGCAACAATACGTTCCATCAAGTTAGCTCCTATTGCTTTCACTTTACCTTTAAGACCTATTATCAGGGCATTAGAAAGTGTGTGAAACATCTTGATGCGTTCATGCTCAGAAGATTTATACTTAATCCAACGAACTCAGAGGGACTGTGTCTGTGCAGCAAATTAGCATCAGATAGAAAGGGGCATACAGAATTATACACAGTAGAACTCAGGCACCTTTACAGATGAACCCATATTTTTAGGATAGATATATACACATATGAAACTGTAGAACTGTAAGCTAAGTAACAGACCCAGGCTATTAGATTCAAAGTTTTAATTCAATTATATGTGTGCACTTAATCTGTTTGCAATTTGAGGGAAATTGAATCTCAACAGTTATAAAAGGCAGAAACCTGTTCTGCCAATGTTTCGTGTAGCTCCTTTATAAATCAGCAAAGTGGGAGGCAAACTGAATAAACTTTAAAAGATCTCTTCAATGCTTATTTACTTAGGTTTAAACTAAAAGCAAATGCTACAACTTATGATATGCACAACCCAGAAGTATCTGGAATTCTCATTTGAAAGTAAAGCTTTTATCATTCACAAGCATTGGTTTAAATGACCCAGTCCTAGTTATACAGCTAAACAAGCTTTAATGCAAACATCTCTCCTCTCCCTATGCATGTGCAACTCATGTCATTTGGTTACATATGCAGAAAAACTAAGGTACTTAAACGGTTCAGCATTTCTATAGTTTTAAATTAATACAGATTATAATGCACTGATTTTTTTTCCTAGCAAGAATATACCCTAAAACTACATTTCTTTATTTAAAGAAGTTTCAGTAAGAAAAAACTGAACTACACAAGTATTGAAAAAATTAAAAGTTCCTTAATTATTTTTAATTCCTGGTACCACTACCACAAATTTACAGGGCAATATACCTGATTTTATGAAGAAAAGACAAAGCTACAACAACAAATTAAAAAAAGTCAGGAATGTACATCTAAACACTACATTGCATTAAATCAATAGCTGCACTCTTTGCAAACTGTGGCTATATCAGTCCTTAAGAAGGGTTTCCTGTTTAAGCTGCAGTAACTTTTCTGACTATGGTTCATCGCTCCTTCTGTGGCAGATTTTACAGTTCCTCTAATTCATTTGGGACGACTGTCTCAAAGTAACCTGCAGCTTTCCTGACAACTCCTCGCTCTCTCCTGCTAAGAACTGTAGCCTGTTGAATACAGGATAAAAAAAAAAAGATTACTCTCAAAGAAATATTGTAAGCTTAATTAAAAACACTTATTTGTAGCATACATACCTATCCTGCTACAGTTTTTAGAATCTTCTTCCACCATAGCCACCACTTCCTCCTCCCGATCCATAGCCACCTACAAATGGAGTATAACTGTTTATATTCCAGTTTTTGCTACAAGATGCTAGCAAGCTGCATATATTTTAATGTTGCATTTACCACCATAGGGACTGCCTGAACTTCTGCCACTGAAACTGCCACTTCCTTTCATGGGTCCATAACTTGAGGCCTGTTGTCCACTGTAGTTGCCAAAATCGTTGTAGCTCCCACTGCCACCATAGTTGCCTAAAACAGAAACTTAATTTTACATTCATCAAGTCTGTTATGTAATTTGAAGTAAGCTTCAAAAGTACATTTCATTAGATTAAATAAACAAAGCACTACTGCATATAATTTAGTATGCAACATAAGCATTTTGTGGACTTACTGAAGACACTTAATGGAATTCCAATGTAGAATCATATGCAGTTTTTAGTTGCAAAGAATGGAACTCACAGAATCACCATTTGCTTTCTTTTCCCCAGTGGCAAGAGGCAAAAAAACACTTGCTTCCTGCTAGTAACTTTGGTAAGATAACCTGTACGAAACATGCCTTAGGAATACTGGGAGGAAGAAAAGCCACGGTTCTCCTTCTGCTTCACTTTAAGTGTACCAAAACATGCTGTTTTCTCAAGGGGTGGGGGGGAAGCAATCTGTAAGCAAGTCCCTCTCCATAAACCAGCTGGAAGACAGCTGGCTTTCTGATGGCCTGATACAGAGGCTCCCAAATTTTCTCAGTTCACAGTACCCTTAGTGTCTCATAATTTTTTCACTATGCCCTGTAGTTCCCAAACTGTGCCCCACAGCAAACTCATAGGGGCACTGTGGGATATTTTAAGCGTTTGAGGGAAACACAGATATTCTCAATACTTTTCTAACTAATTACCTCATCGTCAATTCTGTTAGAATTCTAAAGCATCTAGAAGGTATGTATCTATGCATCTCTCAGTTAGCATACTGCATTTACCTGAAAGGAAGACTAGTTTCACCCCCAACAATTTAACTATGAAATGGGGAATTTTTCTCTTGGATTCACTGAATTTATGACAATGGAAGCTAATATTCTTTGCTGGGAAAGGTTTTCTTTAAATTTAGAGTCATCTTTCTTTTGGGTAAAGGAAGTTCAAACTAGTTCCAAGTTTTTAGTCCTCATACTGATATGTTTGATAATCTTATTTGTCCTTCATTTTTTAAATTAACAGGCCCAGTTTGCTTTTTCCAGAAGTATATGAAGATCAGAACATATACCCTTGAAACTGTGGTCCAGTAATCAACCCAAATATTATATACATAAATAGTGCTGAAGAAAGTTTCACAAAGAATGTGACATTTATCTAGTGTTAGTCCTACAAAGTTGACCAGATTAAGAAACCAATGCCATGTAGGTCAGTACTACTTTTATTGTAAAGCTACAGTAAGAGAATCTTGCAAGTCAGAATGTGCTTTCCCCCCCCTCACTTTATCATCATGTGAACTAGGGAGGGGCTTGTGTGAGACGTTTTCTCAAATTAGTTTTCTGGCCAGGACTCAAGCCCTACTTATCTGACTGCTGTCTTGGCAGTGGCTCTTCCTCCTGTCCTTCAAGGCCATTCCCTATTCCTTCTACATCTACTTTTTTAAAAATTGCAGAATACTGCAGACACATTAATAGAACAGACTACATATAAAACAGATACAAGTTAGATAAAAATCAATGCTATAACCCTAGCAGCTAGTACTGTAGCTCTTGAAAATTAAGCTTCCAATCTAACATAGATGATAGCATGCACTGATACAGGTCCCTGAGTCCTTCAGAAATTTTTCAAGTCTGATTTCACAACATTAGAAGTGTGTTTTGAGGCTAAGTTTACATTGCGCAACATTCTTCTTAATTAAACCTACAGGATGTTTTGAAATGTTAGGTAAAATAATTAATGTTTTATTTAACAGAAATTTTACTGAATTTTTAAATAAACAAGATAGATGTTGTATAATGCAATTCAGACTACTCACCTCCAAAGCTTCCTCCTTCATTATAACCATCATAGCCTCCACCTCCTCCGCCATATCCACCACCTGGATTTCCATAGCTTGGACTACCACCATAACCACCTCGGCTACCATATCCAGGGCTACCACCATAGTTTCCACCTTCAATTAAAAGTAACGTAGTATTTGATATTAATAAAAAGGTAGCTGCACTTTAGAAAATTACCACAGAGGTATGTTATGTAATGGTTTCTATTCAAAATCCTATAAATTCCCAATAAAATCAACCATCTCAACTTTCTGCAATGCCTCATTCTTCCAGATGTTTTGGCTTGTAACACAAATCATTCCTGATTATTAACCATATTGCCTTTGGCTGACCGGATTTTTTTTTTTTGAACATCTGGAGGCACCTAATTTGAAGAATACAAGCAGTATTCCATAGGAAGACATTATGTCATATTTTAGTACTTGCTTTGAAAGCAATGGGATTCTGCTCCACTGAAATTAATGGCATAAGCTAATAATGACTGACCTAAAGCATCTAGTTAAGCTATTTAGTATACAGATTTTCCACATGCCTCAGCTTAACATTTCCTATGTCAAAATATTCCACAAGTCGCCAAAAACTGTGTTCTACTATGATACTTTTGTTTTCTTTAGTGATACAACTAACTTAAAAAATGCAAAAAGTACAAAACTTGTAGGTCATAAATACATGCACAGATTCCAAAGGGCATGGAGCCAAAAATCTCATCCTGTTTTGCACTGGGAGCAGGAGGTGAGTGGGATGAGGAATTATAGAGAAAAAATGCTGCCCCTTAAAAATCCATTCCCAATCCGGTCCTTCTCCTGCCCACTTTTGAACTGAAATCTTTTGACACCAGTGCAACCAGGTGTGGCTCTCAAGCTACTGCAAGTTATACTTCTCCAATATAATGCAAGTGGTATTTGTACTACCATGCTTACCATCACCAAAGCCATTATATCCATCGCCACTCCCAAAGCTTCCTCTACTGCTGCCACCACCTCCACTACCGTAGCCTCCTAAATTAGAACAAATATATTATGTTATGAACAAAAAATAGCGTAAGACAGTATCTTGGAAGGACACTGCGAAGAACTAACATGTACCTCTACCACCAAAACTTCCACCTCTGTTGTAACTTCCACCGCTGCCTCCAAAGTTCCCACGGCCCATGAAGTTGCTTGAACTACTCCCACGACCTTAAACAACAAAAACAACACAGTGAATGTCTTGATAGTGTTTGATAGATAGCATCACTGCTACATTTTGGACTCTTATGGACTAAGACTCACTTCTTTGTGCAGTTGCAGTCTGCATTTCTTGCTTGGAGAGAGCTTTCTTCACTTCACAGTTATGCCCATTTATAGTGTGGTATTTCTGAACTAAAATAAATTTTGAAAATGTACATTCTGTTCAGTAATGATTTATGCAAAATATTGTAAAATATACCAATTCCAAACAAACAAGAACATAAAATAAAGAACCTACACTGACTCTCCCACCCACACATAGTGCAAAGCGTGATGAAGCCTCTTCATTTCCAAGGGCATCAACAAGCAAACTTTTGCAAAGTAATTTATTCAGACTCTTCTCTCTAACTTTAAACTGAGTTAAAATTGTTTTGATCTCTATTCTGGCTTGGTCTGCCTTTCAACCTTGGGCTGAAAAAAGCAGAACTCTGGTTTCCAATCAGCTTGCCACCTCCTTTTCTCTTCCTAGAATGGATGGACCCAGAGAATTTTTAAGGAAAATAAAAGACCTGCTTAGAGTCAAATGATTGAAGCAGCAAGCAAGCAAAAGCAGGACAATGAGGGATCAGAGGCTGGCTGCTTTCCAGCCAACCCAACTTAAATGAATGTGGGTTGGATACAGGTGAAATTCTGCCTGTACAAGTAGGGAGTCATTAGACTAGAAAGCTTTGTTGCAACAGAGCTACGAGTTCTTGACTTTAGGGAATGTGTGGATTGTCAACCAATTTTTCCTCCAGCTTCTCCATCTTGAGTTCCCCTCAAAAACATGACCCATGTTGTTCACCAATGCTCAAAATCTGCAGAAGCCCACAAATGCAATTCACCAACCTTCCCTCACAATTATCCCCAAAATAATACTATAGCTTTCGGAAAATTATAGTGAAGGGGCTATGATCCTTCTGGCCCATCAATAAATTGAAACTGCAACTAGTGCTTTGACCTAAAGTGACAGAATCCAACCTGCCTTTGTGTGATTACTAATCACCATTTGAGCTGGGATCTCTCAAATCCATTCTTCTGCTTATGTGTTTGCTTTGGAATGAGGGTTCTTTGAAATCCTGACATTCAGCTAGTTATTAGTGAGGCTGTTCAATTTGCTTTGGGAAATTCACCCAACTACTAAGGTGGCTACTGGGGTCTTTGTGTAGTGATAGGAGCAAACAAGCAGACTGGATGAGAAATGCTGGCTATCAAACTACCTGCCAGGCAGGCACTCAAAGCACAGTAGAAAGATTCAGGAAAGCTCTGGGTAATGGGAATGAAGGAGAACAGGACTGGAGTCAAGCATGTGCTTGTGCACAAGCAACTATCAGATATTGGAAATTGCAGGAATTGAAGTAAATACAAGAGAGGAAAGTCAAGACCCCAGAGGTGGTTAAAAATTGAATTTGGGGCTACAAAGTATAATCTTCTAAAACACTGAACTTATGTCTTATATCATTCCTATGATAAAAGTTTTTTTTCACCAAAAAAATGATATGAATCAATATTTATCAAACTGAAGCTATCACAAAGAGAAAATATTACATACCAACAATTTTGTCTACTGTATCATGATCATCAAATGTCACAAAGGCAAAACCTCTCTTCTTTCCACTCTGCCTGTCTTCCATTACTTCTATGGTTTCAATTTTGCCATATTTTTCAAAATAATCTCTTAAATTATATTCTTCTGTGTCTTCTTTAATCCCACCAACAAATATTTTCTTCACTGTTAAATGAGCACCAGGTTTCACAGAATCCTACGGAATTTTAAGTTATGTTTAGTATTTCAGTCTTTTTAAATTAGTTCAACATTTGAAAAACACATTTAGATTTAGAAGTAAATAAGCATTTGTATAATCAAGATGTAACACTGTTAACAATTACTTACTTCTCTAGAAACGGCTCTCTTTGGCTCTACCACACGGCCATCAACTTTATGTGGTCGAGCTGCCATTGCAGCATCTACTTCTTCCACACAAGAGTAGGTCACAAAACCAAAGCCCCGAGAGCGTTTTGTCTGTGGGTCTCTCATCACCTTCAAGACATATATTAAACATAGAATGCTGATTTAAACATTACTTTTTTGTGTGCCTGCTCTAATCCTATTGACTAGAGTGGGAGCTTCTTCCAAATGCAGAGACATACAAATGTTTTAATTTCTCACCACACAATCTGTGAGCGTGCCCCATTTTTCGAAGTGCTCTCTTAGGCTATCATCTGTAGTTTCAAAGCTCAAGCCACCAATAAACAGCTTTCTCAATTGTTCTGGTTCTTTAGGATCATGGCCCTGAAAAAAGGAAAGTTTCAGTATCTGCACTAAATTCATGCTGCTGCTCAGAAATACACTTGTTTTTCACACAATTAAATAACACACTGCTTCTATAGATATATGTTTCAGTATGATACAAACATATGTTAACAGGAGTGTGATTTGGACTAGCTTGTTTCTGGCCCTAAGAGCAAATCAATTCATAAAAAAAAACCTCAAATCAATTCCTTTTCCCCATTCATCCCACAGTTTTTCTAAGCCGACCTATCCCTGAAGGACTCTTATAAATCCATTATTTCATCTTAATTAAACTTAACTACAATAATACAAACCACGGTAACTAGATAAGTATTTTTGCAACCGCTGCTAATATACATTTTTCTTAAAAGACTCATCGTTCACTGAGATATTTTCCTTAGTAAAGTACTTAATAGCAACTAATCTGTAATATTCTATTCATATTAATACAAAGCGTGTCCTACTGTGTTTAATAAGGCTTACTTTCAAGCATGTATGCACACATCTGAGGCTGCAATTCAATCCATATCTATTCTAAGGTTATATCCGATTGAAATTATGTGGCTTACTTATGAAAACTGAGGCTCATTAAAAAAAAAAAGGAATCACAAGTACAGTAAAACTGCCAATATCTTTATGTTTATAGAAATTTATGTTTCCATGCAAAGGGCTACTAATGTCATAATTTCATCACATTCTGTCCCAAAAAAAGTTAGACACCTTTTGTTGGAGGGAGGGGGAGAGATATGGTTAAGAGGCCACAGTTTGAAAATTTTATTCTGATTTTTTAAATGAAATTTAGCATGATTCCAGTTTCTTTGCAAATTTCATACTATTTTGCTGAAAATACTCTTAACAAAGTTAAAAGATATTTGGGTTCTGCTCATGCTGGACCAGGGGTCTCAAACTTGTGTCCTGCAGTTTTTTTCTGTAAGGCTCATGATGGTCATGCATCGGGTGCTGTTTCAGCTTTTATACCCATCCCCGCTGTATGCATTTGTCCCAGATTTTCAAGTCCCAGGCACCCTTTCCCCCTGCTGCAGAGCTGGCTTCTCCTACATAGCACTGGCTTCCACAGTGCCAGCTTCACTTCTCCCCCATAACACCAGCTAACATGGTGCCATTGCAGAGAAGCCAGTGCTGCACAAACTGTGTAGTGGGGGGAAACAAAGCCTGCATTGTGCAAGCCATGCTGGGGCGGAAGTGGTAGCTGCCTGGAGGCCTTGCAAAGGAGGTAATGGTGGGAAAAGGGTACCAGCCGCTGCCTTCACTTCTCCTGCACAGCACCAGCTTGTGCACTTTCTGCTTCTGAGCCATCCTCCTCAGTCAGGTGGTTTATCTGCCCGCTGATGACATGGAGAACCTAAGCTGGAACTGCCAGACATGCTGCTGCGACAGAAAGTGAGATCAAAGGGAAACATGGGAAAAATATTTCCAAAAAATATATATAACTGTTATATGATTTTGATCTTCCAATCCATGCACAGAGTGAAATGATTGTGCTCCATACGCTTTGTTCTGTCTTAAATCCAGAGTGAAAGAAGCCTACTTTGAAATGCCCTGGACTGGGGGTGGGGGGGAACAGTACTTAGATGTTCTGTGTCAGTTTAGATGGATGGCAGCCAGCCAGCCAGCCATAGAGGGAATTTTTTTTACCAAGATTATATTTCCCAGGCTGGGCTTTCTTTTAGATTGAAACTGCATATCACTTTATTTGGGGGCAACCAGCCAGTGCCAAGCTGCCCAAAAGGGTTGGGGTTACACTTTTCTTTAAATATGAGGTTGAGTGTTTAAAGAATCTATCTCTTCCCTCCCAGATATCACTAGAAGGCAGCAAAGAGTCAGAAGTTATTCTCTCTCCTTGTTGCTGTTCAGTAGTTCCCTTGTCTAGCTTCTCAACTTGAAAATCTTGTTTGTTATGCCCAGAACTTCTGGATTTGCTCCAAATTCTAGACTAATGGAATTCAGAGCAGGTAAACAGTTATGGACCCTGCTCTAACTGAAAGCTGTCTGGCCAGGTCTAGTATGGAGCAATAGAATTTGAGGAGAATGTGTGCACAGAGTAAAATACATTTTCTTTCCAAACACATTACTAGTTATAAACTGATAAATCCAGGAAATGGAGTGATAAAAAAAATCTCCATTTTTCATATTAATATTGTTACTTCCCTGTTTAATGTTTCTTCATTTGAAATGATTCACCAAGAGGAACATAATTTTTGGTATCATTACATTTAATTAGCATTCATTAGAAATTATACATTTCTTTGAATTAATCAACAGTTTCTCAGAAGAAACAGACTGCCAAAATTTTTCTGCCTCAGAAACAACAGGTTTTAGAAGACTAGAATCATTACCTTAAATTCCAAGATCGCAAAACAAGGAGAAAGTTATTTAACTGACAGTTATATTTTTTCAGCAAATCAAATACAATATGTCTAATTAATGATGATAAAGGCATTCAGGATAGGAAAAAAATACCTGCATTTGAGTTGTGAAACAATTTGAATTTTATAGCAACAGCTGACCTCAAGGGACTTTTGATTAGTATCTGAATAATGGAAACTAAACATCAAATTGTGACTGGCCTTAATAATCTAGCTGAAATTTTTATTCTGATCTGGTATTTTCAAATGGAAATTGAAATGAATGGCCATACTGACTAACTGGCCAAACAGCTAGCCCAAACTTCCCTTTTGGATAGTGGCATTTATAATGAGTGGAACACTGCTTGAATATTTTAACCTTTTCCTGACTAAAGAACAAGAACGTATCACCTGCTCTAAAGCCACCAACAAAAACTCTCCATAACTCTTAATTCTAAAGCCTCTCCTTAACAAACTGATAGACTCCACTGAATAAAGTAAATCTGGACTTCTGTTAGAAATTTTTCAAGAACCACCACCTGTATCATTATACATATGCATCATATAATTCCAGCTAATTCTCCCTAATCGCTTCACATACATTATTTATGCAGGCTATACAATCCACCTGTCAACAGCAAGCTCTTGCAGTCCCTTATAACTATGTTTTTATTGCAGATAATCAGAAATCATAATGGGAATGAGAATAAGGAGGACCCTTCAGGTATAGAAGTTTAGAGTTCTATTACTTAAATAAATAGATATAACACATAAGATATTACTTCCAGTGATTTGAAGGTCATTTGTTTAAACAGTGTTAATAATTACAATTCTATAATTAGCGTTTCAAAAGATGGCCATCGTTCTCAAAAACAGCTTAATTGCTAACCATCTCTAAATACATGTATTACATAATACAGAAGATTCAGATATTTATTCAAGTGAAGCTGATCAATTCATAGCTGCATTTGACCTAGTTTTGAATGATGCAATAAACAACTCTGTGTCTGGATTGTTAAGTTTTATACTGTATAAAAGAGCTCATGGGATACATTGTTCTTTAGAGAATAGTGAATTCTTATCTTCAATGTTCTAGTTTTTGTGGAACAATATTGATGCCACAGCATCAATAGCTACCACCTCAATGAAAAGTGGATCTTGGTCAACTGAAAATGCTCATCCAAGCAGATAGAACTGTCACTGAATTGCCTGTTTCTGGATTTTAATAATTTAACTACAATTTTAGATTTATTTAGATATTAGTTTTCAAGTTATTCCCCTCAGAGTAATATGAATTTATAGAATTATGCATATAACAGTAAACTTACTATAAACATCCATACTGGGTACAGGAAATGGAAAGAATAATATATTCTCAAAAGCCAAGCAGAACAGAGTAGTGCAATGTGAAGTCTGAGCCACACAAAGATTAATCAAAGCAGCAGCAAGCAAAAATTCTCTCTAGTTAACCCAAGTAAAAAAGCTAAAATCATAAAGTATTCCACCTGTGAAGATCTTCTTCCCCTTCTCTTGTAATCTTCAGCCTCTCTCTCCTCTTTACACGCCATTTTGGGAGTGTGTTCTGACTCAGTTGCTCCTTTTAACCTAGGTAACAAGTAGTATGAGTTCCTGTGAGTTTCCTCCTTACTCTCATACAAAATAAAGGGGCTCTAAGTTTCCGTGGACAAACATATAGGAGCCACTTTAAGTAATGTTACTGTATGAGAGAATAAGTAAAAAAAAAAAAAAAGGTGGACTTCTATAATCAACTCATGTGATGCATTTCTTTTTAAATAAAAGCACAGCGTATAAATTGAAAAAAAAAGCACGTTCATCATTATATGCTATAAGGATAGCAAAGTGAACTGCTAGCCAATTAAACTCTATTCAAAACTATGCAATAAGAAAGCATAGACAAATGTTGTTTCTACCCTTGGCTCTAGATACTGCATTAATCCATTTATTTGCACTGATAAATATGGGCTAAAGAAGCAAATCCCAGTAGGGGAAAGAGAATCAAGACCATCTCTGATTTGCTCAGTTTATAAACATCATATTCCCTGGATATTCCTCTTGACTGTGCTATTCTAGATCTTCAGATCTGGGAGGGGATACTGATATTTTAAGGCTTTTGTGATAGAAATGCCTTGAAAGCTACTGTCCTGAGCATTTGGAAAAGAGGCTTCTGTGTTTTCCTTCAGAATGTCTTAAATCAAGCATGTGCATGTAAGTACTCAAGGCCTTAAAATTAAACCCACAATGGCCTCTCTACCTCATCCAAAAAAAAAAAAAGAAAAAGCAATGCTTCTTTCAAGTGAAACATATGCTCAGGCCTGGATCATTCTTGACCCATTAACAGTGAGTAGAAACCAGTTATAAAAAACAGTGAGATTCCATGTAATTGCCTAGATAAGGCACTTCCTCATTCCTACTCAAGTCATTTTCAAATGCTCCCAGAATTAGATGTGACTGTTCTCATATAAATTAATTAAAAAATGCACTATTTTAATATAGCTGTAACTGGTCACTAGCATTTCACTATGGCCAAAATTATTAAGATAGTAGTTAACAAATTATTAAACATGTTTCATGTTTGAAAACAGCATTTCCACTACACCAGGTTATTAGGCACTGCCTTGAGAGGGCTGAATCTAATTGTTGGGTAAGAACATCTCAAGAAAGCCGTCACTATGTGAAGTGAGGGAGACATGGTCAAGGTGGCAATCCCTCTTTGGTGCAGTCCCCATTCTTTGGAACTCCTTGCCTCCAGAAGTTTAAGCATCCTTCTTGGTATTTCATAGAGCTGTCCTACCCTATTCCATCATTCTTTTAACCAGGCTTGAATACTTCTTGGGGCCACTGGAGAAATTTCTATTTATTGAATATCTTTTTAAAAATTGTTGTATTGAGATGGGTTATAAAAATTGTAGAATAAATACACACATTATCCCAAGATTACAGATTTGAGGGAGCTGAATCTGAAATGGATGATAAAACTGTACTCAGCTAGAGTAGTTTTACAGAGAATTGCTTATAAAAGTCTTGAAGTAATTGAGTTACAAGTAGAATTGAGGCTGGTATAGATTATCACATCCTTCTTGCTCTATCTCTAATTCTCTAAAAATCTCTAATTCAAAGCATCCTTAGGTTTCAACATACTTTTGTATACTTTCTCAGATCTCTTTCCTTGCTAAGACTCTGATATGCATACAAAAGTGTTACGGACTTTTCTTGAAAAAAAAAAAAGATTAAAACAAGACAAAACTTGAACAGTCTTTGCATCCATTTTGCCTTTACCTTGATACCTGCCCTCTTGAAAATGGGTGGATGGGGCATGAGATTTAAAAAACTGTGGGCTTTTCTATTATTATCTATAGGAAACTCTCCCTTCCACAAGGCAAGAAAAAGAAAAGTCAAACAAAAAAATCAAGAAAGGCCCTCTCTGGTTTTTCTTTCAAAACTGTAGGTGACAGAGAAGTCCCAGCTGCTGACACAGGTTCCTAATTTATAATTTGGAAAAGCAAAGATAGAGAATGCAAGCCTGGAAACAACGCACAATAGCAAGCCCCAGCGGAGTCCCACACAGCTGATTTCAGCAAGAAATAGGCAGCTAGAACCTTAGGATCATTAAAAACTAATATTTAATGTTAGAAGTATAATACTAAGGTAATTTTATGACTTTGAATTTCTGTTGAACAGGACTGCTCACTAGCTGAATAATCCTTTGATTATTAAAACAATTTCTATCTTTTATACCCAAAACTAGGAATTCTTTATCAGAATGAAATGTTTTAGGTTCAACCATGTATACTTTAACCTTAATCTCTACTTAGAACTAAGTTGAGTGGCCCTTATTACCAGATAAGCCGGAGATATACAATCATAGCTGTTTGTTCTGCAACTTAGATGTGTACAGGTTAACAATTTTCAGAAACACTGAATATAGTTTGGCAATTTATTCATGTAGCAGAGGGGGAAAACTACCTTTTGTCATTGTGTCTATGATATGAGGATAAATTAAATAATTAAGAATTAAATGGTCTGGAAAGTTAATCTATTCCACACTGCAACCTTATCTCTCTCTCTCTCTCTCTCTCTCTCTCACACACACACACACACACACACACACAGAGGCTTAGTGACTTTTATGTCACACCAGGATTCAAAAAGAGCAGCATTTAATACACTAATGTTGTGGTACTTACAAGTGTGGACAGTACTCAGAGATATAACAGGATCAGGCTGTACGAACATCACTTTTATGTAATTATAATTAGAGAACAGAGCTTAGTATTTATATGTTATGTCTAGGGTTCAGATACTAGTCATTTATGATTCTAAAGACTGGCAATGTGCATTAAAGATGAGATAGATGATATGGTGGTTACCTGAACCAGCAAAATTCATACTTAATAGCTTCAAGATGGAAAAAATGTTATGATTACAAAGATTAAATGATTCAGCACCACTTTTAAGAAAGATCAAAAAGTCAAATGGCTTTCATATCAAAATCAAAAGCACTCAAACCCTATCAGAGGACTGCTTAAATAGAAAATTAACCGTAGGACTTATGCTATTATTTTTGCGGTTAGTTGACAGTTTTATAAGATAAAACAATCAACAATTCATATTTAGGGATCCTACTGAACTCAATGGGATTTACTCATAGATTGCACCCCGAAAACATAAAACATAAGTGCAAAAGGGAGCGTTTTCCTAAGGGCTTAACCAAGCTCTGCACAATTACGAGTTGGCGGCAGGATCTAAGCGTGCGTGTCCCTACGGCACGTTGTAGCCTCCGCCAGCCCTCTCACGTATCTACCCCTCCGAGCAAACTGGGCCCGGGTGGCTGGGATTTAGCGAACGGGCCACGCTAACTGACGACTCCACCCGCTCTACTGCGGCTGCTCTCGCTTCAGTTCAGCCTCCCTCCCCCGCGCGGGGTCACAATGGCGCCCGAAGCAGCAGCCTTTCCCGCTCCAAGCCTTCCTCCTCCCCCCTCGTTGCGCCATTTCGGAGACGTCGTGGCTAAGCCGGGTAGAGCAAAACCCGAGCCCGCTCGCCAGGCAGGACCCGGCCGGCCTCCCTGCTCGTTGGCTCGTCTGCCATGCCTAGCCACCTCCGGGTTCCGCCGCTGCAAAGCCCGTCGCCCGCCGCTGTTCCCGCACGACGCCGACCATCGTTACCTCCATTTTGTGACTGGATTTTGCCTCCTTCAGCCTCAATATGGAGTCGAGAGGAAGAGGGTGGGAGGAGCAGGTCAGAGGAAACTAGGGCACGTGAGAGGAAGGCGGGCTCAACGGCAAGGAAACGGGGGAGGAGAAGGAGGGACTTTCTTTTTCAAATGTGTACAGTACTTTAATATGAGCTACAGTACTGTATTTCATCAAGTTGCGGTTACATGCCGGGGGGGGGGGGGGTGAGATGGTTACATCACTAACGACCTGAAAAGGAGGAGGGGATTGCCACGAACGAGCGGCGTTAGAACGGTGGAACCTGGGAGGAAAATTCCACACACGCGCTTGGTCCGCGCGGCCGTTCGTCACCTCGTTGGCGCCTCCTTAAACCATCGAGGCGAAGTGGGTAGAAAGAATGGGCCGTGCCCGAGCCGCCAGCGCGGGATCGGCTGCTCAGAGAAAGAGTGTGCGCGCGCAGAAGTTCCCCCCGCTCAACTCGTGTTCGGTCCCAGGACGAGGAAGTTGAGTTCAAGCAGGCCCAAACCATGCAGCCGCGGTTTTCCTCTTTCCAGCTGATCTGTGCACCGTTTGGGAAGCCGTGCTTTCTAGGTTGTGGAGGGACGCGGGAGAGCGTGGATCTGCATTATGTAGCCTGTCCCGAGCTGGCGCGTGCTTTCTCCGTATATTGGACTACAGCTCACGTGATTACCGCCCCCGAGGGCTCTCGGAGCAGCAGTCCAATGCATCCGAGCAGCACCAAGTTGAGGAAGGGCGGCATGAAGGGAAGGAATAAGTGATTGGAAACCCGGCTGCTTTGTCCAAGCGCCGCTATTGCCGGTTGCTCACCTGCCTTCCTTTCTGGGCTGTGCTTTCGCCGCCTAGAAAGAAGGCGGCAGGCGAAGTGGCGAAAGAACGACACCATCCTCTTCTTTCCTAGGCAGCCGCTCCTTCCATTTTGCTCGCTCACGAACTCCATCTTGGCTCCACCACAGGGAGCCGAGTTGCATTTTGCTTGCTGGGTGAAAGGAGGCGGCAGGTCGCTTCGATGGCGCGTGTTTTTTTTTTCCGCCCCCTCGGGACACTTCCAGAAGAAGCTGTTAGCGTGCCAATCGCGCGGCCTCGCTGACCGAATTTGAAAGAGATGTTCAGACCAAGTCGATTTGGTAGATGCCATCCTCCCATGTCCCCCCCCGGCTTCTCCCACCATCTTTCCACACAAGAGTCCCTCAAGAGGAAATAAAAGAGTCTCGCTCTCCCTCTTAACTGATAACTCGGAGTCGGCTGCATCTGGAGTTTTATAAACCAGCTAAATAAACGCTAGGAGTTGTCCGCCCAGCAGTGCCCCCCGGCTGACCATCTCGCTGGCTTCCGTTGTTGCTGGGCGGCCCGAAAAAGGGCGCCATCTCCTTTCGCTCGCCTGCGCGGCCTCTTTGGGCAGCGTTACAACGGGGGAGTGAGCAGCGTGCCGGCGGCTTGCTGCGTGCTCCCTTCCTTAAAGCTGAGGCGGCGGCATTGCTGTCCCCAGCAGAGAGGAGCTCTCCACGCCTCCCTGGAGGAGCAAAATCTCTCAGGAAAAACTGCTAAGATTTCACCAGAAATCCTTTTTGCAGATGCACAGGGCGGTGGATTGTTTATGCACGGCTGCCTATGCTCTGTGAAGTTCAAACAAATGTTTTTATCTTGCTGTTCAGGTGAAAAACGCTCCAGAGCAAAGATAATAGATTAATTTGGTGTTAGGGATATAATTTTGGTTTTGTTTTTCCTCATCTATAGTTGAGGTATTTTATTTATATTGTTATTAACCAAATCTTACAAGCAAATTGTACACCCTTACAAGTGAACTGACAGTATGATAAGCAAGCACTGTTTCACATTTTAGTTGAAATGGAAACATCAAAAATTTGTCATCCGGTTCATATCTTAAATTATTCTCCACCTTTAATTAATGGTTTATGGTATTACTAGATTTTTCTTAAGGGTCCCCAGAATAAAGAGGCAGGTATATTATACACAAACGATTTGAAGGCACATAAATATATGCACATATACAAATACACAATATAATTTATAGAAGACATAATGGTCAGAAATAATGCTGATGACATACTGTGAGAAACATACAGTAACTGTTCGGAATGTAAAGCCTTCATTGGCTTGAAAATACATTCATTTTTTTCCCTTAAAATCATGATAAAATATGCTTTGTTGAACCCAATCCTGTATATAATTAACTGAGCACAGGATTGCAGCTTTAACAGTATAATTAAACCTACTTCAAGCATGAAAAAAAAGTTCCCTTTGAGACAGACTTCATGGATATAGTTTTGGAATCAATAAAGAGGTGTTTTGCCATTGCCTTCCAGAATTATTTTTCACTTCCCAGTTGAGCCTATAGCCCAAGTATTTCTTGGCTTCCTATCCAAATACCAAATCTGACTCTGCTAAGGCAAGCCAAGATTGACTAAGTGCTGTCACTTAGTTGGGCAAGCTGAGAACAGGGAAGAATTATTAAAATCAAATTAATTAACATGGTGAAAAGTGAAGGTAATACATCTTTGTTTCACCTTCATCCATTTATATGTACCTATACATTTTATTTAGAAATCTCAGACTGGAAAGTTTGCCATAAAAGTTTATTTTCCTTGGAAATAAGATTTATTAAAACATGTATGCTGGCAAATCATACCAATATGATCCCCTATGCTTATGTCTTTTAAAAATTATTTTAAATGTATAACATTTATCAAATTGCTAAACTTAGGAAGAAAATTTATGAAGAGTGTATGTGAAGATGTTTCTTGGTGATGCCAAAGATGGCCAACTGTTCAGGAATTATTTTGCACAGGTTTCTCTTTCAGTTATGAAGAATCAATTTTTAAGAATCCATCTCTGGGACATAAAAAAAGCTCAACTTCTCTAAAACTGTTATTTGACATTTTAATACTGCCTTAAAAGAATTTATTCAAATGGCCAGGTGTTAGTTTTTCAAAAATGAATTATCTGTAGTTGTAAGACTCTATACATAGTAACAATCCAGATTTTTAGTATTTCTTTGACAAAAAAATGTTATTTTTGAATATTGTAATGCTATGTACTTCATTAGTTAATCCAGCACAAGCATTTTAATATGTTAATATGTTAATTATATATTTATGAATATCTGCTGTGTGCTAAGAGCTACCGTGATTAGGTTTGTTTTTGTAGCCTGAGTTTTATATCTCTGCAGTTCATTTACTAGCAGATGGATTCTATCCCATGCAATAATTACTGCTGCATGCATAATATGTTTGTGTATTCTTTTACAAAGATGACACGCCTATAAAAGATAGAACGTATTGTTGGAGCCTTTAATAATATACAGAATTACTCTGTGCAGAGCAACTTTTTCCTTTTTTAAATATTTTTAGGTTTTTTAAAAATGTGTCTGCTCACATAACAGCAATATTACATAATGCAGCAATGTATGTTTTTTGTGTGTTTGTCTCATGGCTGTGATACACTTTTTTATTCTACCTCTCCTGTAAACTGACTAGACTGGTACATGAATATATGTCTACAGAGGGAGTATTTGAAATGGATGGGAGATTGTTATCCTTAAATAAAATGGGAACAAATTTCATTCATTGTATTTCAGTCTATGTTAGTGACTATTAATTTCTACCTCTCTTTGAAATCCCTTTGTTTCATGAAGAAATCTACAGTGTGAAGATAGATTTATCATACAAATAAGATGTAAAATTTGACAATATCTGAGTTTAAACATCAAAATTTAGGAGATATAAGTGTGTCCTTTCTGATTCTGTCTCCACTGATGAGCAGGATAAAAAAAAAAGTCTATCTTCCATGACTGCAATGCAGGTCTGTTTGTGGGAGTGGTTCCCTGCAAAAGCCATAACCAGTGTTTCAACCAATAATAGTCAGCTCTCTGGGGCTTGATTTGACTATGTATTGTTGATCTGAATTTTCTTTTTCAGAGGCTTCTAAACATAGAACAAATCTCTCATTTTTTTTCCTTTAAGACCAGCAATTTCTTCAGCATATTTATTAAACGATAAATAAGGAATCATGATAAAAGACAATTTAATTCTTAGAATTTTGCAGAAGCAAATTATATCTGAAATCATAACCCTTTAATGGGAGAATGTGATTTATGATAGGTAGTCCAGTGCGATGAACTAGACAGCCTAAAAGGACTGCTGTGCCTATGGTCTGCTTAGTCAAAAGCCTATATATTCGTAATTGCTAAACAGAAGAAAATGAAAATCCCTACAGAGAAAATGCCAACTTGACAGCAGCCTCCATAGAATCTATAGATGGCATGGATAACCTCAGGCTGTCACAGGTTCCCCATCCAGATTCCTCCACATTTTTTACCAAGGAATTGCCCTCCTTGATTCAAGCATTCTCTCCTTAACACTAAAGCATACACAGTTGTCAATATAATTTTAATACCTAAGTGAGGAAGGAGGACCTGAGATGGAGTTACTGCTAATGAGGAAAAGACTAGCTCATTTTGTTGTGCCTCACTTTGAAAAATTGACTCACTATGCAAGTAAGCTTTCAAGTAGCCTCTATTGATGTCAGCAGACTGTTTTGAAGCTTAATTGCAGTGAAAGGTGTTGATATGTAATGTATGTAGCAGACAGTTGCTCCAAGAAAACATTTTAAGGACTGCATGCATGGTAATGTCCTGCCCATTGCTGGTATTTAATTCTTAACACATCTCAAGCTTTGTTTCTATAGTGGTTCCATGGGATCTTATCTATGGATATAGATACCCAGACAACTAGGAGATAGCCTTGGAGCACATAAATAAGCATTCCAAAGGATATGGCTGCATTAATTTTTGAGGAAGTGTGCTTTACTTGTGCTAACACACTTTGTGGAGCATCTCCTTTGAATCCTTTGCATAACTGCAGAAAATAACCTCTGCCTGAAATCTGAATACTACCACCATTATACTCTTATTTGGCTGAAATAGGATCCTGATAGTGCCCATTATAGTTATGTATAGGCAATTTTATCTACAGATTGAGACAGGAAAACAACTCCAGGATATGGCTCCAGTTCACAACAATACACATACTTCCAGACCTGGGAAACCATGTCTTGTT